TTCTTAAAACTAGAAATTCAAAGAACTTGAGGCCGGCAGTCAGATGTGTAAGCTCTTAACAAAGAATAAATTAGGGAAGGAATAAAACTCTGAGATAAAAGAACTTTGCTGTGAAGAATTTCTTCAATGTCAGATTCCCATTTAGCACCTCACGTTTCTTCAGCTGCTAAATGTTATGCAATTTTCTGGACTTCTATTAGGTATCAGGTATAATTTAAACAAAACCAGCTGCTGTAGACTATGAGAAATCAAATCTTTTCGCATCAATTTCGATTGGTTTATCAAACAGCTGGAGGAACTCTTTAATAAAACTAAAAGAGATTTTTGCTCGCAAAGCTTTTTCTTTTCTTCTAATTGTGAAATGTTGCAATTGCAGCTTTGCTGGCATTTGCTTTGCTCGTTTGTTTTATTGTCATTTGGACATCAAACAGAGCGTAACTCGCTCGCTGTCACGCAATGCCAAGCTCGACTTTTGCAAACGATATTTTGATGTTCTACAATGGGGCTGCCTCCAAGCCACCCTCCCAACCAATGGAGCTCCCCTTTCATCCAGTTGAAATGCTGCTTTGACCATAAACCGAATCGTTGAGGCGTAAAGTTTTTTTTGTCTATTTTTTGAACGCTTTTTAAGTTTGAACTTGAAATTTTTGATGTATGCATAAATTGTATATATACATAAAGGTATGTTTAAATAGTATATTTAAATAGTATATATAAAAAAAACTAGTTCTACTGAAGTGACCCAGTGTGTTTGGCCCGAAGTAGTTGCCAAGAATTTGCATCTCTAATGAGCAGACAAAAGCCAAATGCGGTTTGGGAATTGAAATGAGCCAAAGAGGAAATAGCTTTGATATTTATGTTTATTATTATTTGCATAGCTGGACGTCCACATGGCCAATTAATAAGTTATTTTGGCTTAATCAATCAGCTATTACAACGTTTTCAAACGGCCTGCTGTGAATATGCTATTTGGTCGATCAGAGCTTCGATTAGAGTTTAATTAACACATTTTCCCATCGTCGCTGGGCGCCTCAAATAGCTTTCCAAATAGCAAAGCTGTTAATATCATGTTTATATCTCATATATATTAAATATATAGGTCAGCTGGGGGTGTTAGTGTAGCTAAACAAGAACTCGTCTAGCGATGCCTAACTTGATTTTGGACAATAAACTAGAATGTTCACTTATGGATAAGCGGTGTTTAGTCATAAGATTTATGGAACAATTTTGCTTTGCTTCGCTTTGTTGTATTTAAGTCTATAAAAAGGTCTTAAAATATTGAAATGACATAAATAAGTTATCTAATAATATTCTTAAATTTAAAAAATGTTGTAAAAATAATATAATAATAAAATAAAAAAATAAACACATGGTTAAAAAAATTAAAAATAAACACCTACTTTGCAAGGTATACATTTCTCTAAGTGTATGGACTGTGAGTTATTATATATCAAATTGAATACACAATGATATTTATACATTTAATTTAATAAAATATTAATATGTGAATTGAGTTTTTATGCCCATAACAGCTTATACATTATGCCTATAAGGCTCCACTTAATTGCCATAAAATGCAATTAATATTATTTGTTACATATGTTTGCAGCTATAACCAAATGTATGAATTATTTATATATCCGGAGGCAAAAAACTGTGTTTAAAAAAAAAAAAACAAAGTTCCCCTCATAAGTGACTGTACTATAAAATATATATACAAACTAAAAACAATTTAGTTTTTTGTGTTGAGTGGGAATATAATAAAATATTTTACTTTCACAGCTCCATAAATTTATGAATGTTTGAAGCACACAAAAAACCTTTCAAACTGCACGTTGTAATCGCAGCTAAATGGAGCCTGGGCAACAGTTGCATTTGATATGTGGCAAATGTGCAGAAGTGAATGAACCCAAACAAAACATTAAGTAACATCTTTTCGAATGGCGAAGATTTTAATGCGCTGCAAAATAAATTCCATCAGAAAGTGCATGAGAGCCTGAAGCAAGAGTTGAAAATGTTGAAGAAGTAGAAAATTAATTTGAATTGATCGATTATCGATATTTATCATGCGTAGTAATCAAATTGTGTATCGATTTCTATTAAGAGAGAGAGAGAGAGAATGACAGAGAGAGACAGAAGGAGGTACAACTAGAGATACAAAAAAGGATGCTAAATAAGGATGGAGGTAAAGAGACAGAGATAGAGAAAGATAATCAGAGAGAACAAAATGAAGAAAGAGCGAAATAAAGAAAAAGGGAGAATCAAAGAACGCAAGGGACCGAGAGTATTAGAGAGTCTAGTCTAGTCTAGTTGTTCTCATCCTGTGCACACTTCTAGTCTAATATACCCGTCCTCAGTTTATTTACAGAGTACGTCAAATAAAGCTTTCATTTTTTCCTTCTTGTTCCGCATAAAAAGTTATTAAACTGCGCATCAAACTGTAAATTACAGTAAAAAGCCTTTCAAACGCCATTTTGTGGGCGCCCACACCCACACACACATTCACACACACACACGCATCGCAGCACATATAATGAGTGTGAAAAGTAATTCAATAATGCGTTGTTAATTATACTTTTGATCTTTGCTATGAGAAATGAAAGGGTTCAGACAGCGCCAACTACATCCGATTACGGGAGATGTATGTATGTGTCTATATCTTATGGCAATATAGTGTACGTATACTATATATACTGATATGTGTGCATAAGCCAGTCAATGCTGGGTCTGACCTCAAGCAGCAGACCCGCAGCAACCGAATTTTTTTACTTATATAAGCTGGATTTCCTCTTTGGCTTTTCTCTCTTTGAGCAGAGGCAGGAGTAATTTCCTTTGCTTTTATTTATTTGTACATTTATCTTCTTGCTGCCGTTTTAATCCCCCAAACATTCTTGATAAGCCATTTCGGATTTAATTGAGCGTTTTTTCACTTCTGATTCATTTGTTTTTATATTGCCAATAAAACTGAGTGTTTTTATCAATGATTTATAAAGTGCCAAAGTGTGAGTTTTTTTAGTGCTGTAATCTGTGAGATTTACCACTCCAACCTCATAATAGCGAATCGTACTCATAGATAGTGGAATAGGGCATATCGGTATTACATAAACTATCAAATTTAATAAATATTGAAAAAAAGGAAATAAATAATAAAATCGAAAAATAAAAACAAAAATATTATAAATTAACAAAAAATATAGAAAAATTTGAAGAAAAAAAAATTAAATAATATAAATAAAACATAATTTTTAAAATCGTAACTTTAACTCAAAGTTTAGTGGAATTAAGAAAAAGTCTAGTTAAGACTTAGTTTATTTCGTAATATTTTTTAATAATTTATCTTTATATTTTTTAAATATGAAAAGAAAAATAAAATAATAGCTATAAAAATAATTTCTTTAAAAAATTTCAATTATTGTTTACAAATTTTTCTTAAAAAAAATTTTTTCTTTAATTCTTCAAAAAATTATACTATTTCATAACATTCTTTATAAGTTGAATTTCTTTTTATGATTTATTTTTCTATTTGTTGACGAAAAAGTAAATGTTTTAAGCTTTTATTTTTAATAAGCTTATATTTTTTATATAAATAAAATAAAGTGAAAATAAATATTTTGTAATTTTATACATAACGTTTTCTGGTCAATTGTGGCAAAAAAATAAATCTTGTAGCCCAATTTAATTTATTTATGTTGACTTTCTATAAGCACGATATGTGTGTGTGTAGCTCAGTCGCTTACTCATTGAAATATGAATCGTTATATAATATTAATCGATGACAATAAACTGATTTATAATCGCAGGCAGCAGTTGATAACTGTTTTTACCTCTGACTCTGCCTTTGTCTCTTTTGATATGATCATAAATTCATCATCTGTTGTTAGTTTTTGCACTTATTGTTTGTCATCTGCTTGCAAAAAGCGAACTATTTGCATATAGTGCAAAAAGTTAATGCAATAAATGATAACGATGACGATAACGATAACGATAGCGATTAAGCTGAAGATAACAATAAATGTTAACGAGCTTTCCACTTGAGCAAATAAAAGAACAGATTTGACTGTGACACGTGCTTAAGCTAGGGGTCGGAGTCGGAGTCGGAGTCGGAGTCGGGGTTGGGGTTGGGCTTTTTGTCGCTGACCCAAATTAGCTGGGAAATTGCGCATACGCCACGTGCAGCCGCCCACATTTGACTGGCTCAACTGTCAGCACTAAAAAGCAGAGACTCTAATTAAAAATGAAGAGACAATGAGCAAAAAAAATGAAAGTAAAAGCCACTTGAAAGTGGATCACATCAGAGTGGATGATGAACTGTCAAATACCTCGTATATACTAAAGCGAAGGCATGCAAAGAAGTGGGAGGCAGAGGTAAAGAGACAACCGTTAGGATTTAAATACTTTTTCTGGTACATACACGGCTTTATGGGGTATGCGCACGTATCACCTTTTACAGGGTACATGCAAATTCCAAAAATATTTCAAATAAATAAATACTAATTAAATAAATAAATATATAAATAAATAAATACTCATATATCAAGTAGTTGCATATACCCCATGCGTGTTCAGGGTATATGGCAGTGGTAAGCCGAGTCAACTGCAAATAGAGATACGCAGCTTTGTGGGCGTCACAGGGCGTCACTGCACCATCTACCTGCCCCTATACGTGCGGCTAATTATATGTCAGCATTAAAGAGACAACCAAAGAGAGCGAGAGGAAGGGAAGGAGGTAGGGAGGGAGAGAGAGGCAGAGTGAGAGAGTCAGCGACATGGTCATGGCAGTTATTTTAGCTGGCAAGTAATTACTATGCAGCTGGCATAGACGTAACGGAGCTGAAATGTTGTTGGATGATCAATGCTCGTGCATCCGGAAGAGGTAGGAAATTAAAGAAGAAGAGGCAAGTAGCAGTAGGAAGCATGGGTGGGGGAGCTCCCCCAGGTGAGTTGCATATCGTAAAATTTAAAATCGAAATGAAATTGTTGTTTGCTTTTGGCCAACTTACCTTCTCCGTGCTGGACTGAAAGTAATAAACCATCACGAACATCCAAATGATGCTGACGAAGACAATTAATTTGATGTTGCGACGCATGTTTATTGATTCTTCTTCTTCTTCTGTTTCTTCCACTGATCTTTTATTATAATTATATTATTTATCGGACGTTTACTTCTGTTGTTGTCGTTGCTATTTGGCAAATTCGTTTGCTTTTCCACTGCGTAAATCAAACAAAAAATTTTTGATTGGATTGGATTAATTACATTTAATTAAGCCCCGCAAACACGTGCCATAAATTCCGCAACTCAATTATTTATATTTCTTTTTTTATTTTTTTGATAACAACTGAAAATCTGTTTCACATTTGTTTGTCTTTCCCCTTTTTCTCTTCGCCACTGTATTTATTTAAATGCAATTCATTACTTAGTTGAACTACAATTCCTGCGGCTGCCGAGCTGTTGCCAGCTTCCGTTTGTGGCTCAAAATTAATTCGCTTGCACGCCTTCGCGATGTCCAAACGGACATATTGGCTGAAGTGTCGAACTTATACTGAGGTGTCTAAGTCCAAGTGTTCCGAGCTCTGGCAAACAGGAAAACTAATCTCCTGAACTTCATTACGGATTGATCAAAATTGATTTATACATTCGCCCTGCCTGGACATTGTGGCCAAAGCTTTAGCTATGAATATTAGCTATATCTATACTGTATATATATCTTTATATATATCCATATTATATCTACTATAGTTTTCAGGGCCAGAATCTCTATGTTTTGCCATTCATCATTGTTGAGCTGCTTTACAACTGAATTTCTAAATTATATGTGTCATGAGCAAGTATTGTGCAGTCGCCTTAACTCGGCTGGCATATGGCCTCAGTCTTAACTTGTAAATGCTTTTTATTAGCTTGGAATAATGCAATTATTGGTTCAATCAGTGGTCCAATGAGAGAGAAGAGTGAGAGAGAGAGAGAGGAAAAAGTAGAGGGAGAGGTAGAGAGAGATGAAGGGCGAGGGAGAAAGAGACAGAGGGACAGAGAGAACGGAAAAGGAGAGAGAGGAAGAGGGAGAGAGAGAGAGAGAGAGAGCTACAAGGAGAGATAGAGCAAATTTTTAGTAATTACACAACATCAAAGACTAGGGAAACAATATTGTTATCTCAATAATCAATTCATTATGTTCTTAAATTTAAAAAAAAAATATTCTTTTTCCTGAGTTAAAAGTTTACTCAAAATATTTTTAAATTTTTTATATTTGAATTGCAATTTCAATTAAAACTCTTTCATTTGGCAGCTATAAAATTTTTATGTTTGTCATGTGAGCAGAGTTCATTAAATATTTGAAGCGAACTGCTTCCAGTCATCAGTTCACTAGAACTGGTTCATAATTGGTTTCATATTAAATATGAGCAATGTGTTACAAGAGACGCTCAGGCGCCGCTGATAAAGCAATTAAGCCCTGGCCTAATATTTACTTTGGATTGACTTTCAGCTAGAGTGAAAAGTTAATTAATTTTCTGACAGAAATATATTATTGTAAAATTTTCATTTAGTTTTCCATGTTTTCCATACCTTTGTTCTACCTAAAAATTCTTTATATAAACGATAATAAGCATTATGATATCATCTAAAGCTTTTGTGACTGATAATGAAATGACGAAACTCTAGAGATATAAGATATCTATATATACATTTATATATATATATATATATATATATATATATATATATATATATATATATATATATATATATATATATATATATATATATATATATATATATATATATATATATATATATAAAGATTCCTCGACAGCTTCGTCTCACTCCAAGCTATATCTACAGCACCTTTTATCGCGCAGCTCTGATAAACTTTAGATTAACATTTGGAATTTCCATGGAACTCGATAAGTGAAGCGAATATTCAAGTTCGCAGCCTTAATTAAAAGCATGCGTTATTATTTTAATTAATTTTCTGAACGCCCATTTCACACACTTGAGAAATTGCTCTTCAAATAATGTGGGTCACTTCAGTGATGTCATAGGCAAGTCAACTGAACCTAAGCCACAATGTTAAATTAGAATTATTTAACTATTTAATATTTTTAATATTTTTTTATATTGTTACTTGACTGTTGTAGGCAGTGAAAGCTGGAAACAGCTGTTCATATATTATTGTTATATTCATGTTTGTTGTTTAGTTTTAAGGTTGAGCCATTAAGCATACGCAATGTATGGCGATAAGATAAGCGCGTTGCTTGGAAATTGAAATTGAAATTGGATTTTGATAAAAACTGAAACCTTTTTTTTTATAATTTTTTATAAATTATTGAAAACTCTTTTATTTGCCCGCATTGCAGTTACAATTATGATTGATCATAGATAGTATAAGATTGAGCATGTAAATACACAAACAGTGGGAGAGAGGGCAAACAGTGCACCATAATGAGCGGCAATTGGTTAAATGTTTATGGCTTTATAGTTAGCTAATGTTGTTGTTGTGGTTGTTTGTTGGCAATTGTATTGCATTTACCGTTAAGTCGTTTATTATGCTTGATTAGCGCGCCGCACAAAAACCACGAAACACGCGAGTCACGAGCTTAGAAAACTTCGCCTACTGCGACTACGACTACAGCGACTGCGACTGAGACAGAGACAGAGACCGAGACGAGCGTCTGCGTCAGCGTCGCACACACGAATGACCGCTAAGCGTCGCAGTCGCGTATATTTTAATGCCAAAAGGCAGTGCAGACCACCGACGCAACGACGACGCGACGCAACGGTAGTCTTCAATCGTCTTTTGTGCTATGCTTGGCGCTGGCCAACCAAGTTGCAACGTATAAGAGTGAGCGCGCACATTGGTTCGCTGCGAACATGTTGCGAGCGCGCTTAAATCTAATCAAACAACTAACGTTCGAACAATTTCAGTTCGAACACCAACGATTGCCTCGAACCTACCACGTTGCGTATGCGTAATGTTGAGCAGAGACGTGAACCGGCCATAAAAACAAAAACAAATGATTATTTATTATTGTTAAAAGTTAATTTGATTTTCATTGTGTTTTATATATTTGAATTTGTAATGTTGAGATTATGTTAAAATTACTTCTGCGTCTATCTCATTATTTATCTAACTTTACCTTCATTGATCTAACTAAATTTATTTCAACTTAAAATGGGTTTTTGTTTTATTTTTGGCAGTTCTGACATTTCACTTGAACCTTTTTAATCAACTCAAGCTTTTTAATTCCAGATTTATTTCCATTTTTTAGCAAGTTGAATTTTATTTTTAATGAGTTTTCTCTCAATTTCCATATGAGGATGGCAACAAAATGTTTGCCATATTCAATTAAAACTAATTAAATATTCATTCAAATTGTTAGAATAAACTGTAGTTATGTAAATTTCATGCAACAACAGCAACAGCAACAGCAACGATATGCAGTGTGCTCAGCTCTCCTTTTTAGTTTAGTCGTGTTGGTCAGCTTTGGAGTTGAGTTGAATTGGGCGAGATAAATGCCTGCATTATTTATAAACTGACTTCGAGAGTATATGCAGCTTAGGTGTGTGAGAGTGTTTATGGGTGCAGGGGTGCAGAGGTGCAGTAGTGTTTCTGTGTGTGTGTGTTAACAAGGGCCATAACGCTTTAAGGACAACGACAGCAGCTGCTGCAAAAAGTAACTTGGACAGTAAAACATGACAAAACTAAGCAAATGAACAAATAGAATAACAAAGTGAGCAATGATGAAAGCAAGCACGACTAGCAGTTGCTATATATTTATATACATATAACGATTTATCTATATATATAATATGTATACATTTGTGTATCAATGATATCTTTTATCTCATTCGAAAGCTCTACAAGGAAAGTCTAAAGATTTTCCAAGCTAACAAATTGCATATAAAATAAATTTTAAAACAAATGCTTTTTAATGCAAACATATGTACACATATATATATGTTTAAGAAAATATTTTTAAATACATTTTTAAAATTCTTTTCTTAATTCACAAATAAATTTTTTTACTTATTCGGTTTGTTTAATAGTTTTATTTCTAAATAACTTTTTTAAGCTCATTATTGTTAATATGCAACCTTTTTAAACAATTTTTCATTTTTTTTTTTTTTAATTAGTTTAGTTTTCTTGCTTAATCCTTGCACAAGTTCTTTGCCAACTCCCTTTGAGCTTTCATTCAATATGCCCGCTTGATCTTCTTAATTGCATGTTTGAGAGTTAAGCTAAGCACTCTATAGCAAATGTGGGTTAGAGCTACTGGCACCCATCTCTCTCTCTCTACCTGCTCAATACTCCCTCTCTCTCGCACTCTGTAGTGTGCAGCACATATCCTTGATTTTTGCCGCTGACCGTTCGCTTATATAAATTGGCTTAAAAACTCGAACCGGCCAACAAAAACTCATGACTATGCAGACAGATAGAGAGAAGGAGGACAGGCAGACATGCAGACACAGTGCCACAGACAAGAATCAAACTATTACTAGAAGAAATACGCACTCTTAATGGCAAGTCGAATATTTAATACGCTTCAGGTAAGAGGAATAGGCCTGAAAGTTGATGAAACATTAATTGTTATTGCTATATATATATGAAATGTTTTGCTAAAATATATTTCGATACAAAAGTTGGATTACATAAGAGTTAGATGCTTGATAGGGTTTTTAGATAAATTTGTTGCAGTTACAAGAAAGCAGATAAACTTTGCTTCAACATCCACTAAAATTGAATTTTAATGAACACTCATTTAATGATCTTTTCTATAAAGTTAATTCCTAGCAGAGGCAATTTCGGAAAACTATTATTAGGAAAATTAACTATTCCGAGTCTTGTGCAGTGGCTAACAAGCCTTAGAAACCTTGAGTTTCAATTGGGATAATCGCATTGCCCTATAGCCATTATAGGGTATCTAAGCATATGCAACTGTCGCAGCGAGCCAACCAAACAGTTGTATGAGTGGCATTCCATTAGGCGTAATTAGAGCATTTAGAGCTGTGGAAAAAAGTTAAGAAAAGCCAACGGCAGCAGTAATAGAAAGAAGAAGAAGCAGTAGAGAGAATGTAGCAGAAGAAGAGGCAACAGCAGCAGCAGCAGCTGTTGGCAGAGACAGTTGAACTAACTAATGCATATATGCATGAAATGTTATATGTGCATATGTATAGGTGCGCACATATATATACATGTGTGTGCTTGTGGGTGTGTATGTGTGCATTTAGCATTTGTTGTGCTGAAAACAATTTAGCTGCTGCTGCAAGTCTCGCTTGACTGTGGCAGCCACCAAGTGCGGCGACTTGGCTTTCCAAGTACGATAATTAAAAGTTGGTTAAATGTTGCATGAGTTGCAGCTGCAGTAACGCCAGCATCCTTCAAAGCACATTTGATTGCACACCATTTGCCAGTCATCTCCCTCTATCTCTGTCTCTCCCTCTCTCTTTCTCTGTCTCTCTCCCTATGTGTGTTCACCTAGCCGTAAACTTTGCTGCTGCGTATCTATCCAAGCGCACTTCACATTTGGAAGTCACTAGCTTAAGTCGCCGCCCTCCCCCTATTCACACAATATCCGCTCATTACTTGCTAGCTGGCTTTTTCTTTTGGCCGCACACATGCAACCCCTAGGCTATAGCCACACGCCCCCTCCCTCCACGTCCCACTTTGTAGCCAAATCTGAGGAAATCAAAAGTGCAAATGGATTTGGAAAATGTTGGAAGTAAAGGATATATATAAACAGAGAAATATATAGAAAATAATGCCTAATTGCATTAGACACTTTATACTTGGCCAAGGGAAGGTTGCCTGGGGGCGTGGCAGGTGGCTGCGTTGGTTTCTATACGCGATGCTGCAGTTACCAAAAATTGTTGCAATTTATTAGCGTTGCGGCTGCAGCTAAGCGGTTCAAGCGGAAGAAGGTGAGTCGCAAAGGGATTACATATGTATATGTATATGTGTGTGTGTAGGTGTGTATAGGTGTGCAGCTGTGTGCATGTTTGGGCATGTAACGCTTTAGTTGTGCGCCTGCCTAATGTCTTGATGACAAGCGAGCGTTGGCAAAGCTGATAAAGTGGCGTTAAGTGTTGTCGCCCTTTATCACATATACATGTGTATGCGTTTAGGTGTAGGGGTGTGCCTGTGTAGGTGTGAATTTGATATACTATTTATGGTACTTAACACTTGAAACTCACTAAGATAATCTTAAGTTATGCAAGTGGCGTAAAGGATAATAAGTTATCAAGCTATTCGAGGCTTGTTAATATACTTTTTTCACTTATAATAATAATAATTAATTACAACAATAATAAATAATAATAATAGTTATAATAAGGGCTTGATAAGGTATAAAAACTAACAAAAATAAATTGTTGTTAATGACAATAATTATGTATATTTGTTCATATTGAATTGTAGATTAGTAGAACTATTTCTTAATTAAGAAGTTCAAAGAAAGAGCCAAAGAGAGTATACCCTATAGTTAGTTATATACAGCAAAACAAATTACATTTTATTTTACATTCTGATTATTTTTATTGTATATATACTGTTATATTATTGTAATTATTATTTCACTATTATTATTTCACATTGTTTATTTTTGTATAATTTAATTTAATTTAACTCTGCTCTCACAAACATAGCTGATGTTTATTTTTGCACAGTGTATCATGTTTTTATTCAAGTTTCAATGCTCTCAGAGAGTAAGAATTGCATTTGCCGGTCTGTTTGTCGCTCACTCGCTCTCATATTCGCCTTCTCTTCTACACTCTCTCTGACTCATTCCGTCACTCGCACTTTGAGGGTGGCTTTGGCTTAGCAAAGCGACTGTCATCTACTGTGCGTGTGGTTACATTCGAAGTGTGCCCAGCCTTGCTTGGCTTGTCCCACTCCCACTTCCACTCCTCACTAGCCATCCCTCTTCCTCCTCTGGGCTCTATCAAAACAAAGCTGTCAGCTGCTGCAGCAGAATTATAATTTTTTTTTGGTTTTTTGTTTTTGTTACTCTTGGCACGCGAATTGCAGGCGCGACTTTTGTTTGTCTGCCTTCGATTTTTACACTCACACAAACACAAGCACAAACACACTCACACACACTGACAAAATTGATTTCATTGCTTACATTTTGTATGAAAAATTACAATTTGAACACTTTTTTGTTGCAATTTATTTCTATACTGCTTTAAACATTAACTTTTATTGCTTCATTTGCTTTGCTTTGCTTTAATTCTAATTTATTTTTCGTAATTTTCGATTTAAATGCACTTTTGGTGTTTTTCTTTTGTAGCAAAAATAGTAGCTTTTCCTTAACAACTATTTGTATTTGTAATTATTATTTAATTATTTATTTTGTAGGTTTTAGTTTATTATTTTTATTATTTTTAGAACGCGACGCGTTTCGTTGCGTTTGTTTAGTTCAACAAACGCTCGCAGCAACTGCCAAACGGCATTCTTGTCGTTGTCGTTGCTGTTGTTGTTTCTGTCTCTGTTTTCGGCTTGTTATTCTTATTTCTTTCATTTTTCGCCTCATTCCTTGCTTCACGTTGTGTGTGAAGTAACATTTCTTTTGGTCGCGCATTTCCGTGTTTTGCTACCCTTTTTGCTTCCTCGTCATCAAATTCGCGCTCTCTCTCTGCTATCGCTCTTTAAATATGCATGCAGCGAGGGTAGCTTTGGCTGTTTAAGCAAAACACTCTCTTGGGAGAGAGCTTTG